CCGGTCTCTTCCACATCCATCTCAACCTGACCTTCCCTTGAACCGCCAGCCGGAGCTGGGTCTTGCTCGGTGTCAACCTCCATATCCTCAAAATGCACTTGCAACCTTTCCCTACTCACCTCAACACTCTCTGGACTACCAACCGCAACACTTGGTGAATTCTCAGCATCAAATGCTGCTCTTCTCCGCTTGCAGTCGGCGTTGTGCCGAATTCCAGGGGCTACCATTCCAGAGTCACATGCTGGGCATCTCGGTGTTTTGGGAAAAACTCTAACTTCAGGCATAGAGTCTGCTGGTGAAGTTGCAGGCGATGTTGGGACAACTGAAGGCGAATTGGACACAACAGCGGGTGTCTTTGGCTCTGCTTTCGCTGTTGCCGGTGCCGGCACAGGTGGTTGATGGGCAATTTTGATACCGGTGGAACGTTTTGGCACAGGAGTTTCAATTGGTCGCTTCTTTGGCAATGGTCTCCTAGTGTTGTCAGGTTCCTTCATTTCCCTAACAAGGTCACTAGGGGCTCCATCAGGGTATTCAACGATGTCATCGCGTGCATCACGCGGTTGTCGCGGTGGCTCAAGTGCGGGTCTTTCACCTACTGAGCGTGCAGGTGTTGGTGCTAGATGGGTAAGTGTGATTCCCACCCTAAACCCTCCCAGAGGAAAAACGTGATACCCACGCAGCGTGCTCGTTACAAATTCTAGACACAAAAAACCTCGCAGAGATATTAATAAGCTACTTAGCGTGAGGCTATCGCCACGGTATACATATAAAAAATATATTGGCCCGCGTTATAAATAAGAGCAGCTTCAGCACAAGACATCAAACACAACAAAAATCAAACTGCAACATGCGACAAGGTGGAATGCACAAATCAGGAAAATGCGGCCGTTTCCTTTTTTCAATCTCCTTTTATCGTCTTGGATTGGATGGAATCCCCACCATAGGTTTTGGCTGCCATTAACTTCCGATGGCTACCGAGCCAAACCAACCCAGGTGTGGGAGGGTGGGCTAAAAAAGTGCTCCAACCCCATATTTGATCCACTCAAATGGATACGGTACATTAAGGAATTCAATTGCAAGGAAAATTCTATACATGAACAGAACCGGTGACATAACCCTTGTGTATGTCAACACGTTGATACTCCATACCTAAGGAGTAAATAAAGAGAACATCTTGTGAAGATTCGGTAGTGTTGTTTTACAACACCTCAATACCTAAGAAGCCTTCCAGATAGAACCAAGAAAAAGGGAAGCCGGAAACACTCAGCGGAGTTGTTTCAAAGTTTGGTTTGTTTATCTGGAAGTTGATCTTCAATACCTCCGAGTGTCTAGAGCACAAGTAGAGCGTAGGAGTCGCGTGGGGAGGGCGTACACCAGGAGTAAGAGACCGAACCCGCAGAGTCAGAACCGGACACCGCTGCAAGTTACTTACTCACAAACACACAGTCGCAACACGTCGCGATTGCGTGCTAGATGGGTAAGTGTGATTCCCACCCTAAACCCTCCCAGAGGAAAAACGTGATACCCACGCAGCGTGCTCGTTACAAATTCTAGACACAAAAAACCTCGCAGAGATATTAATAAGCTACTTAGCGTGAGGCTATCGCCACGGTATACATATAAAAAATATATTGGCCCGCGTTATAAATAAGAGCAGCTTCAGCACAAGACATCAAACACAACAAAAATCAAACTGCAACATGCGACAAGGTGGAATGCACAAATCAGGAAAATGCGGCCGTTTCCTTTTTTCAATCTCCTTTTATCGTCTTGGATTGGATGGAATCCCCACTCCCCACCATAGGTTTTGGCTGCCATTAACTTCCGATGGCTACCGAGCCAAACCAACCCCTATCTCGAGGTGGCCACCGTGCATCACCAAGGGCCAAGCCCCTTCGTACGTGCCCTCTTCTTTGCTGATTCTTTGGGTGAGGGCTCCATCTTTCTCTTCCGCATTTCCTCATGAAACTCTTTGGCATGTTGCAGAAACCTGGTGAGAACGTGCCATTTCTGCTCCTGCGGCACCCACCGTACGCGTTGCTCCATGTTGAAACTGTCAAACTTCATGTTGGAAAGGTCGTCTGCTAACTGGTTCCGATCTCTCCTCAGCCAGTCAAGCGCTAGGTAGCAATGGCCTAGCCGCAGAGATTCGGAAAGCTCCATCACCAAAACCGTAAGGGGAAATTTCGTTGACATCCATTTTGAAATGGCGTAGGCATTTCCCAGGTTGTCTGTCTTCCCCCTGATCCAACATTTGGCCCTGACTTCTCTGTTACCCACTGGCGCCCAAAGTTTGATCGCCACCAAGGTTGCAAGCAGCTCCAACGACGCAATCAGTCGCTTGGGGTCTTTCCGAAGACGAAGCCAGTCCGCCCAATCTTCTTTGACCTCCTCAGAAAACCAGGCCAGAACTTTGCCTTCTTGACTTTGAAGAAAGCCACCTATCCAAGCACCGCTCTCCGTGGCCCTGGCGTCTGTGAAGAAAAGAAGGTCGTCCACCTCCTCTGTCCCCCGTTTAAGGGGGGGTGCCTCTTGTAGCTGTCCGCCCTCCTTGAACCTCTCGCCCAGGAAGAGCAGGATAGCCCTCAACATAGCCGGGAGCCTCATCGTCCCTTTCTTGTTTCTGATTGCCGCCGACCAGCTGTATAGCGGGCCCAGGAAAGGTTTCTCCCACAGCAGCGCCAGGGCAGAGAAGCCCAAACGCCCAAGGCCCTGCTCAAAGACTTTCGGGGTCGTGCACCCTTCAGAGGCCAGCTTCATGACCCAGCTCTGCATCCACTCTGCACGCTTCGGCGAAAGTCCTATTTTGTAGCTTGTGTAGTCTGTAAACAAGCCTATCCACTCAACACGCAGCCCTCCTCTCTGTTTGGCCCACTTGAAAGGGAAGCCCAGGCAGGACAGGAAAAGAAAACTGAGGGTGATGCCTCTGCGACCCCCAGCCGAAGATGCTATCGCTTCCAGATCGTCTGCAAAGATCAGCAAGTCGACAGGCATCTGGGGTCCCAACATTTCATGCATCAGCCTGATCCCGGCTCCTGCTATCCTTGCCCACCAATAGGAGGCACAGGCCAGTCCAAAGGTTCCAACCTTGTTGACGTATATGTACACGTCATCCTCGCTGATCCTGCAGGACAGCAAGCCACGCTCTTCAGGCGCATGTAAAAAGCGCCTGTGCGCCTTACTGATATCACCAACCAAACTGAAGACTGAAGCCTTGCATTGCTGAAAGAAGGCCAGCAAGTATTACTTTTCCCTGGAGCTTGGGCTCCTCACCTTGTCTCTGCACCTGATGCGGTTGTTGATCCGTGTCCCATGGGTGGCGTCGTGAATGACACGTCTTTTTCCCTGGTGGTTTTCTTCCACCAGGACTGCCAGTGAGGAGATGGCTATGCGCTTCCCATATTTGGCTTTGGCCTCCTTGACGGTTAGTTTTTCCATCAAGCCTTCCGCACACTCTTCCTCAAAGTGTTGTCGCACGAAGTCTTTGTGCGCCTCCACTGACTGATAATTCGACCTCCAAATTTCTTCCTGCATGTGCGGGTCGTTCTCCAATTTCCAGCTGGTCTGTTCTTCGAAGACATGTGGTGTGCGAGGTAACGGCAGGTCCACCCCAACTGGGTATCCCACCTCTCCTTGGAGGAGGAAGTCTCTATCCACATCACCTGAAAAGGCCAGCAGCTCCTTGAAGAGCCTCAAGTAGAAGGGCTGCCCTGGTGCCCTGTAGTCCAGGGCTTCTAAAACACTTCCATGTTGCCGTAGCTTGCGCATCCAAAGCTCCCTCAAGTTTTGTTTGAGGTTCTCATCACAAACTATATCACAGCCAGCTTCTCCCTTCACTGCCATCTCAAAGCATGCCCTATCAAGCTTGCGCTCATCTCCAAGGTGCTGAACAATGAGATCCATTGTCTCCTGTCGCAACTCTTGCCAAAAACGCTGTTGTTCCAAATTCTCTTATCTGGATCCCATCTTCCCATTGAAGGCAAGCCTGCTCCATCGTGGAACTGTCGTTCTTTACCTGGTTGTTGACATTGCCTTGGAGGTCCATGTCCCCCTGTTAGCTTGTCGCCATCAGGTTCCAGGGTCGGAAAATCAGTGCTGTCTGAGTTTTGGAGTTTCCCTTCGTCAGCGATGGCAGGACTGATTTTCTGTTTTGCTAAAAACTGCTGTAAAACCATTGTTGCCACCCATTTACAAAAGTTTGACGGCCACTGTTCCGTCCCTGTTGTTGCAAAAGCACTGCCAGAGGTCCCCACCAACTGTCTCACCGCTGCACGTGACCGTAGCGGTCCAGTATAAAAACCTTGGTCATCAAATGTTGGGGGCCCTTGCACAAAGGACTCTGGCAACTCGCCTGCATGGGCCAGCAGCAGTCTTGTCGGCTTTAGGTACTCGGTCCCAAAGTCCTGCTGATAAAAGGCTATCGATTGCACCTGTTCCAGCTCTAAAAGTGCCGTAAATTGCGGCCACTGCCACATGCTTGCAGGCCTGATCCCAAAGTTTTCTCCACTTTTCACGGCTCCTAGGTCTTCAGGGTTCTCAAAAACTGCAATCCCTTCGGGCTGTCTCGCTTGCAACTCAAAAGCTTTATAGGTGAAGTCTGCCATTGTGTTTCCCCAGTTAGCTCTCTTGCGTTCAGCCCAAGATAGCCTGTCCAGCCCTCTCGGTTTTGTAAAGGCCCTCACAGGTCTAGGGCCCCGTCTGTTTGCCCAGACCACTCTTGAGAAAGTGCTGCATGGTGGGCTAAAAATAACCGCATCATACCGTCCAGAAGCAATCTTGTTTAACAAGCGTTGTTGCACCTCTGCACGGGTGAGATCTAAGAATGGTCTCACTTGTATGTCGACCATCTCCACTTCCACAGTCACTCCAAGTTGCTTTGACAGCCTGCGTAACCATGATGAAACTGAATTCTTCCGCGGCTTCCCCGAAAAAACATACAAAACCCTGCAGATCTTCTTTGAAGTAGGGTCTTGTGACCGTGCATTGTCTGTACCACCCTGTCAGTGTGCCCCGGTAGTGTCCGGGGGGTGCTTCTCCTCCTTGCAGTTCAGTGCATTGTGCCCCTTCTTGAAGCATTTGTTGCACACATGCGAGAATTTGCACTTCTGATAGCTGCATTTGCCCTGGTTGAAGCGAAAGCAAATCTTTGCTCCATCCGGCGTAACTCCTGTTCCTTTCCCTTTTGATTTCCCTTTTGCACCGGAGGATTTGCCAGCCTTGCCTTTGCCCTTTGGGTTCCAGTCACCCCAGGATTGCTGAGGATACGAACGCTTGCTGTATAAGGCCAAAGGTGTAATAAAGTGCCTCTCCTTTGTCGTCGGGCACTTCCAAGCTTGCTCCAAGGCTGCCCCTAGTCTGAGGCCATCTGTGATCATCAACGAGTATGCCTTCTTCCTGATCGCCTGCTCGTATGAGAGCACCAAGGTCCAAGGCGGCGACTGGATCTGGTTGCCTTGGAGGTCTGTTGAAGAAAGGCCCCATACATAGTCCCCCAGCACATAATCTTTGTAACGCTCTAAAAGGTCACGCGTCACATCCTGTATCTCCTCTCTGTTGGTGTGCTTGATGGCCAGCATGAGGATGGCGTTGACCATGACTGTAAGGCGCCGTCGCAGCTGCTCTGGACCAGTCGGCAGCGGGATGGTCGATGCCCCCTTTTTCACCGACAGACTGCCCTTGGAGTCGAAGATGGGCACCAGGACATCGGGGTCGACCTCATCTTTGGAGACCACTTCTGTCATCGTCTCCGCTCTGAACTCCCCGTTCTCCAACTCCTGCAGCTTCTTCTCCAGATACTCCTTAGACGGAGTCACTTTGTCTTCCAATCTGCCGTGCACCTTCATGTAGGCGTTTCGCATGCTAATGTAATCACCCGTGGCTATCGGTTTCGTCCACTCACGGGTGTCCATCTCAGCCTCCACCTCCATCTGTCGCTTCTGCTTCGTTTGCGTCTCCCTCCAAGCGCAAATGACAGCTGCCACCTGCGCTCTTGAACGCAAGTCTGTGCCTGAGTCCGTGTTGAAGGAGTCCCGCAACACGCTCACCAGATCATCCTCTGTTCTGAAAAACGATGAAAACTTCTGCACTGTCGTAACCTCGTTTCGGTAAAAAGCAGCTTGCAGTTCATTCGAAACATCATTCCTTGTCAAAATGAATTTCAGATCAGAGCTTCCTTTCTGCAGTGCTTCTTGCATAGCTATCTCTTCCGGTGAAGCCATGCCGTCCACAGGAGTCTACAAGTGTCGCAGCTAACTAACGTGTAGATGGATTTGCACAAATGAAGTGCAATGAAAAACGCAGTGAAAGATTTGCACATGCTGATACCCTAGTCACTGTTTCTATGTCCTGTTCACCGATTGCTGAGCAATGACAGGAAAAAATCTCTGAAAGAAAGCACAAACTGTCTTGGATCCGAGCTGAGCCGTATTCTCCGGAGAAATCTGCGGACTTCTCTCAAGACGGCCATGCTGATTCCGGCATGGACTCTAATAGATCTCAAAAAGAAAAACCTTCAAAGCAAAAGCATCAGTCCACAATGAATTTATCAAATCTCGCTTCAGTCAAACCGGAGTTTCAACTCATGACTGCTTCCGAGCTCAGCTACCTGAGAATCCCCTTCTTTTCTTACTCCGTTCATGACTGTGCCTTCAACATCCATTAGGATGGTGCTCAACCTACAGCTGCTATTCACTTGACTGTTCTGATGAGCTACTGGCGCTTCTGGAACTCGACGTCGATGTTGACGATGATGAGTCGGGTGAAATCTCAGATGGTCTGGCCTTTGGCCAACATACCTTGCAATAGTGCGTAAACTCTTCTGAACTCGGCATGGAAAAGAATTCAGCTGAAGATTTGAAGTTCATCTCTCTTCCCATCCAACATCCCCCTTTGCTCTTGTGGAGTCTCTTGCACTTCTTTCCATTGTTGACAACTATAAACAAAGGAGCCCTCCGTTCAGTTCTCTCGCATTCAAACTCTGCCTTTCTTGCATCCTCTTCAGCGTCTTGTTGAATCTGTACTCCAAACGGAGGACCCCACATCGGTTCCTCCTCCACTGCGGTCCAGCCCGCCAACAACGGTGATCCTAAGGATTCCTCCAGGTATTGTAATATGTTGTCAACTGTCTCACTTGGCAAGCTCTCACATCTCGATGTTATCCAAGACAACGCACTCTCCACAATGTCCCGTTCATCCAACAATTGCGATCTGTCCCTCATCCTAGCTGTCTTTGCAAACTGTAACTGTAAACGTGCAATGACACCATTGTACATCCTCAAATAAGTGTCTGACCCATCAGGCTTCCACCTTCCAAGCATGTCCCGCTCTTCCCTTGGTGCTCCAAGCAGCGAAAGCCCCGTGGGAATGGTCGCCCGCTCTGAGTGCTCTGTCCAGAAAGAAGAAAGCACCTGGTGGACGATAGGCTCCTGGAGTCCTGGTCTCTTCAGTTTGCGTCTCACCCTGGCGGAGTAAGAACTGATGTCATTGTATGAAGCCATCACCTTTCTGAATGCAGACCACTCTTCATTCAGCTTTGGCAACATGTAGTCACGTTCAAAGGGTGCATGCTTCTTGAACAAGTCAAAACCTGTCTTCAACCAAAAAGGGCTAGAAATGTATGCATGCTCTGAGACGCATACTGGCAGCTCCTGAACACGTTTCGAGGGCCCTGTTGTCTTGGTTGAACGCAGGATTGTTGTCATGCGTCCCCCATAAAACTTGAGCTCCTTCGGGACTATCTTCTGTATGTCGTCCCATCTCAATGTTGCCCAAAGCTTCACCAACTTTATCCAGGCAACCAAACGGAAACCAACACGCAGTGATTCATCCTCTACCATGTGTTCAAATGCTTCCATCATGACAACTGGATACCGAGGTGCCCGCTGTGTTGGAGGCCTGTCACGTGACAACATATCCACGATGTAGTCCCTCACAGAGCAAACAACCTGTGATTCACCAATCCTTTCACGTGGATCTATGCAAGCAGTACGCTCAAACCAGACTACAGCCTTGACAATGAGTGGTGGGACTGTTGGTCCACATGGTTCATCATATCTTGCAAACAAATATTCAATAAGGTCACCAACCTCGGGGCTCCCACCATCTCCACGCACTGCTGTCAGCCACTGTCTGAACGCTCTCCAGACTTTGACATATCTCTTGAGAGTGTTGTGCCTGGTCCTACCTGCTAAAGCAAGATGGACATGTTTCTTGTCCACACAATGTTCCAAATGTTCTAAGGCCGGAGCATCCAAACGTTTGAGTTCCTTGAAGAGCTCACGAGACCATGCTTCTTTCTGGTCATCTTCTCTCTTTCGTCTTTCTTCTACTGTCTCATTGACATTGCTGTTCCTACGGCAAGGTCTTGACAAAGGCTCTTCAGAAAGAACATCAAATGAACATGCAGAGGTCGGCACTGGAAATAAGATCGTCCTACGTTCCTGCAACAACTGATCATGCAAAGGGTCCAGACTGCAATCACCACGTAGGCGCTTCTGTAAAGGCTCCTCCGATCTCACCTCTTTAATGAGGTCTGCTACAGCATCAACATGTTTCTGTTCACATACCACTCCGAGCTCCAGACAAACCTGAGCAGCTATATCATCTGCATCATTTGGCATGTAAACTGCAAGTTTCTTGTTGTCCAAACCACAAGATTTCAACAGCTGTTGTACCATGTCCTTCACAGAATCGGACCCCATGAGTCTTCGAGAAGACTAGGCAGCGCCGCCCCCCTACACACTAAAAAAAGTGCTCCAACCCCTTATTATAAATCTTTGAGGCTCAAGAAATTCAAGACCAAATATAATAGACAGGAAGGTTAGTCTCTCAGAAACAAGATTCAATCCAGAATGGATCGGGCGCCGCACATCTTTTTTTACCACGATGGGGAGAAGAGTCATCGATTGAATTCAATGGGATACATTCGAATTGAATTTGGACTACCAGTTCTTTTTGAGGATCGGATGATTGATGGGAATATCAGGTTAGTTGTTCTTAAAGGTTCAAAACAGCAATCCGATAGAACGATGGTTAGAGCTGAGTATAAGTTTAGAACAAGAATCAAGAATAGTCATAATAATCAAATCTGGTCAGTTTGGTCTTGAAATTTCTTGAGCCATGGCCACGGAAATAAAATAAGTTAAGGGAATTCTCGATCTCACAGATTTAGAATAAAGATATGTCTAACGATGTTAGAAATAGTTCATATTTGATCCACTCAAATGGGTACGGTACATTAAGGAATTCAATTGCAAGGAAAATTCTATACATGAACAGAACCGGTGACATAACCCTTGTGTATGTCAACACGTTGATACTCCATACCTAAGGAGTAAATAAAGAGAACATCTTGTGAAGATTCAGGTAGTGTTGTTTTACAACACCTCAATACCTAAGAAGCCTTCCAGATAGAACCAAGAAAAAGGGAAGCCGGAAACACTCAGCGGAGTTGTTTCAAAGTTTGGTTTGTTCATCTGGAAGTTGATCTTCAATACCTCCGAGTGTCTAGAGCACAAGTAGAGCGTAGGAGTCGCGTGGGGAGGGCGTACACCAGGAGTAAGAGACCGAACCCGCAGAGTCAGAACCGGACACCGCTGCAAGTTACTTACTCACAAACACACAGTCGCAACACGTCGCGATTGCGTGCAATTGCTGCTGGGGGCGCGTTTGAGGGCGCTTGCATATGCACATCCTGACTCTCTCCACCTTGAACCTCTGCACCTTCAACTTCGACAAACAACTGGTCACCTATCATCTGTTTCCATGCAATGGGTGTGATTGGTCTCACATTCCGTGCAACAAAACGTTTCAAAACCAATTCTCCATCAATTCGCAATGCACCCTGAACAACAGGACCTGTGTCTAAACCTGAATGCACAAAACATGCTTCAATGCTTCTCGTTTCGTTTGGTGACTGCGCACGAAGACTGTCTGGCAATTCAGCTAACACTGTTGAACCGAACATTGCAAAACTTGGCTTTGACAACTTCCGTTGCGTTGAGTATTCAAGAGGAGAAAAATCTGACCCATGTGCATTTGAAAAATGATTGTGACTCAATGCAATATACGTGCAAACATCTGACAAACCACGTGCAGAAAAGTTCACATCAGCACCACCATCGTTCATCTCAGCTCGAAGAACAGCCAATGACTCCTTCAACCTTCTGACTGCTCGCTCGGCTCCACCATTGGATTGGTGCTGTTGGGGGCGTGCACGACGCACCATGAATTGGATGTTCACTAGAACGGAGGGTTAGCGTGTTTTGCTACTGTCATTTTGGGCTCAAGTCTTTGCCCATTTTGATTGTTGGATACTGACGAAATCGTCACAATGCCCATTTGCAATTGGGCGCTCATATTAGGGCTAGTTTCCAGTGTAGGTTCCCCTTCTGTGTATGGCCTGCCATGGTACCTGGATGTCTTTCATGGGATGACTGGATCTAGGGAGGAAGAAGTCACCAATGGGAAAGATCAACCCGAAGTATCAGAAGGTCAGTCCGCGAAGGAAAGTTCTCAATCTGGAATCCCGTTTGAAGGAATAGCCCATGTGTGGGGATACTCTGTCCTCCACTTTGATTTCCGTTCATGGATAGGCTCCTCATGGTTCAGCACACCAACAGCACCTGGAACCCTGAGCTCCTCAGGAGGGTGGGGATTGTACTTCTTGGATCAGCTGGGGGTGTGGACATGCGGAGATTTTTGGCCATGGGTTGCCAGATGTTTGTTTAGTGCCATCGTGGTTTTGGGAGCAATTTTGATTCTCTACTTGCTATTGGTTATCTGCCGGCCCTGTCAAGCTTTCTGCAAATGTTGCTGCAGACAGACCAGAGCAGTAGCCAAAGAGGTGGGGGAGCTCCTCCCCGAACTTAGACCTGGGGGCACATACGAAAAGCTGGATATCCGTGGACCCGCCTCTAGCGGGGGCGTCGATTCCGAATTCTACCAACGAGGCGTCAAGGGTCGAGGTTCAGAAAGAAAACCCAATGACGTAGCTGTTGTGGTGAATGACCAAATAGCTCGCTTGAAGGTAGACGGGGATCATTGGGCACGTGTGGATCGATACGGGTTATGGGTTCGTCTCCGTGGAGTGAAGGGTTCCACGTCGAAAGCGCTTCGCCAAACGTTGGAACAGGAGGGGAAAATCCATCTCTGTCGCGAGCAGCGGTGTCCGCTTGAATTGCAACCAACACCCGGTCTACATTGCAAAGCTTACGCTTCGGTGGATGCCAATGGGCTGGTGGATTTGGGAGCTTATGCAGGGTGGTCCACCCGCAGGGTGATCGTCTTGATGGGTCGATGGCTACGTAGAATGGTGCGGGGGCTTAGTCTCTGCGTGTACTATCTGACGGGATGGTTCATTCTCAGACAACTCTGGGCAAAGCGGACGCCACCCAGAACCATAGTCGAAGGAGCCGTCGTCAGACCCTTGGATGCGGAATCTGAATCTGAAGTAGAGGTACAAGATGACCCTTGTGAGGCCGTATTAGTCGGTTTGGAACATGGAGGCAAACCGAGAGCATTGGCCACAGACCCATGTGCAGATCGGGCTATCGGAGAGCCGGTCCGGCTCCTGGAGAGGGACAGAGAACTCTCTGACGTCAAAAGGAGATCCTCCGTCAGGCTTTGCGACCATCATCGGCAGCTCTACGTGGCGGCATGTTCAAGCCGAAAATGCAGCGTGTTGGCTTGCTACGAACAGGTTGATGGTGCCAAACAGGGAGTTCCCCTCTGCAAGCACCACCTGACGGACCTTGGTGGTTGTGCTCGCCCTACCCGCAGGGTTAGCTGGACACATGAGAGAGATAGCTCCATTGCACGATCCGAGGCATCTATGTCCGAAGGAGAATGCCTCACCCCTGCACGAAGAAGCCGCCGGATCATCTTTGACGGCGCTGAACGACTTGGGCCCAGGGCTGCTTCGGCCGATCCTAGTGAATCCCAGAAGAAGATTGAAGGCAAGCTTGAGAAGGGCCCGTGCATGGTGCTCCTCAGACCAAAGTCATTACAAACCGCGGAGGCCCCACCCAGGTGGACTGCATGGTTGGGGCGCATCGAGGGGTTCGCCGAAGAAGGGCGCAGCCAGGAGCTGCTCGAAGTCCACATCCCTTCCTTGAAGCAAACGTGTGTGATCCACAGAAGGCTGTTGAAAGGGTCCCCTCGAGACAACGGGGCGGGTCGAATTAGTAAGCATTGGGTGCAGAAGTTCCTTCAGCATACCCATGACGAAGAAGTCGGCCAAGGGATATCGGTCTTGGTCGCGCGCCTGTCCGAAGACCAAGCAGCGGCCCTGAATGCCTGGGACGGTGAGGTGACGGATGAAGGAGCGAAGCCAAGTAAAGCCTGGCAGGGGAGACTCTACCGGGAGATCCTCCCACATGCTGATGCATATTTGCGTGAAGAAGCTGAGATGTCCGACGACTTTATGACACCGCCAAAGCCGAAAGTCGAGCTGGAAGAGGGTGCGGGACCGGCGATTTCACCCTTCCCAGACCTAGATGATTCAGATCGCCAGGGAAGAATGGAGGCGGCTCGAAGAGCTCTTGACCAGCACATTGAGGGAGAGATAGATTCCGAAGTGTTGCAGACCGTGGCCACTGCCTTCGACCTAGATCATGAGCAACTGGCTCAGTCGATGTATGCGAGGAATCACCGCCTTAGCTACTCGAAGCCAACGACACCACCAGGATTGGGAGCCGACCAAAGCGAAATGGAGTTTGCAAGAAGACCCGTGACGGCAACTATGTCAGGAGGAGTGACCGTAAAGCCAGCAGTCCCCCGGCCGGCGAATCCACTTCTGACGAGGAGCTCCTCCTTACTCTCCCCGGTCCAGAGAGGTGGATTGTCGCTCTTTCCCAAGGGGTCAGGCGGTCGAAACAGTCTCGTGAAACCAGCATCGGAGCAGATGCCGGAGGGCAGAGCAGGAGCCACGTTCGGAGAAGCCCTCGGAGACAGCACACAAGTCCAGAGCGCGGACCGCATCATTCACGCCATCGACGGTCTGAGAAGAGCACAGGATGACGACAAAAACCTCACGAAAGGGACCTTGAGTTCTATCAAAGAGGCGGAGAAGATGGACGTCTTCCTGGCACGAGGCTGTGGCACTCTGACCGTTGAACTCGCACCGGGAGTGTACGGGAAGGAACTTTTCCACGCGGGGAAAAGGGTGGCAAATCACGCTCGCCATATGCTGCACTTGATCAAATGGCCGGTGCTGATGACCAACAGGGTCCTACTTGGCATCGCTGGTCTGTGGTGGGGTGGCAAAGACACCTATACCTTGCACGCAAGTGACTGCGTTATTCCCTAAGGTTTTTTAAAACGGGTAACCAGACACAAACAAACCGTTGCGCGAATTGCATAAATGTAGGACGCTTCGCCGAATGTCTGCAAACCATAAACGTGTAATTGAAATCGAACGGAAACAAACGTATATATATATATATATACATATCTGCAAATATAGGCAGACATATACATATATATATATATATACGATACTCCGAGAATACGCAGGAATCGAAAAGGAATGCACTCACAAAACTGGAAATCGCTCTTCACCTTTTTCTCTTCGGGGACTGCATCGAGATCCCGTCGTAATGACGGCTGGGTTAGGCATGCTCCCAAAGCCCAAATAAGGGTTAGGAAAAACGTGGAGTAAGATAAACCACGTTGGGTGGGTGAACAAAAACGATATGGGGCT